TCTCTCACCGTCTCTCTCTGTCTCTCTCCCCACGTCTCTCTCTCCCCACGTCGCTCTCTCCATCTCCCGCTCTCTGTCTCTCTCCCCACGTCTCTCTCACCATTTCACCATCTCTCTCCGTCTCTCTCCCCACGTCTCTCTCTCTCCCCACGTCTCTCTCACACCATCTCTCACCATCTCTCTCCCCACGTCTCTCTCACCATCTCTCTCTCTGTCTCTCACACCATCTCTCTCCATCTCTCTCCCCACGTCTACTCTCACACCATCTCTCACCATCTCTCTCCCCACGTCTCTCTCACACCATCTCTCTCTCCATCTCTCTCCCCACGTCTCTCTCACCATCTCTCTCCCCACGTCTACTCTCACACCATCTCTCTCTCCATCTCTCTCCCCACGTCTCTCTCACCATCTCTCTCTCTGTCTCTCTCACCATCTCCCTCTCACCATCTCTCTCCCCACGTCTCTCTCACCATCTCTCTCTCTGTCTCTCTCACCATCTCCCTCTCACCATCTCTCTCCCCACGTCTCTCTCACCATCTCTCTCTCTGTCTCTCTCACCATCTCCCTCTCACCATCTCTCTCTCCCCACGTCTACTCTCACACCATCTCTCTCTCCGTCTCTCTCCCCACGTCTCTCTCTCTCTCTGTCTCTCTCACCATCTCCCTCTCTCCATCTCTCTCCCCACGTCTCTCTCACCATGTCTCTGTCTCTCTCCCCACGTCTCTCTCACCATCTCCCTCTCACCATCTCTCTCCCCACGTCTCTCTCACCATCTCTCTCTCTGTCTCTCTCACCATCTCCCTCTCACCATCTCTCTCTCCCCACGTCTCTCTCTCACCATCTCTCTCTCTGTCTCTCTCACCATCTCTCTCTCTGTCTCTCTCACCATCTCCCTCTCACCATCTCTCTCTCCCCACGTCTACTCTCACACCATCTCTCACCATCTCTCTCTCCCCACGTCTCTCTCACCATCTCTCTCTCTGTCTCTCTCCCCACGTCTCTCTCTCTCCCCACGTCTCTCTCACACCATCTCTCTCCATCTCTCTCCCCACGTCTCTCTCACACCATCTCTCTCCCCACGTCTCTCTCCCCACGTCTCTCTCACCATCTCTCTCCCCACGTCTCTCTCTCTCCCCACGTCTCTCTCACACCATCTCTCTCCATCTCTCTCCCCACGTCTCTCACACCATCTCTCTCCATCTCTCTCCCCACGTCTCTCTCACCGTCTCTCTCTGTCTCTCTCCCCACGTCTCTCTCTCCCCACGTCGCTCTCTCCATCTCCCGCTCTCTGTCTCTCTCCCCACGTCTCTCTCACCATTTCACCATCTCTCTCCGTCTCTCTCCCCACGTCTCTCTCTCTCCCCACGTCTCTCTCACACCATCTCTCACCATCTCTCTCCCCACGTCTCTCTCACCATCTCTCTCTCTGTCTCTCACACCATCTCTCTCCATCTCTCTCCCCACGTCTACTCTCACACCATCTCTCACCATCTCTCTCCCCACGTCTCTCTCACACCATCTCTCTCTCCATCTCTCTCCCCACGTCTCTCTCACCATCTCTCTCCCCACGTCTACTCTCACACCATCTCTCTCTCCATCTCTCTCCCCACGTCTCTCTCACCATCTCTCTCTCTGTCTCTCTCACCATCTCCCTCTCACCATCTCTCTCCCCACGTCTCTCTCACCATCTCTCTCTCTGTCTCTCTCACCATCTCCCTCTCACCATCTCTCTCCCCACGTCTCTCTCACCATCTCTCTCTCTGTCTCTCTCACCATCTCCCTCTCACCATCTCTCTCTCCCCACGTCTACTCTCACACCATCTCTCTCTCCGTCTCTCTCCCCACGTCTCTCTCTCTCTCTGTCTCTCTCACCATCTCCCTCTCTCCATCTCTCTCCCCACGTCTCTCTCACCATGTCTCTGTCTCTCTCCCCACGTCTCTCTCACCATCTCCCTCTCACCATCTCTCTCCCCACGTCTCTCTCACCATCTCTCTCTCTGTCTCTCTCACCATCTCCCTCTCACCATCTCTCTCTCCCCACGTCTCTCTCTCACCATCTCTCTCTCTGTCTCTCTCACCATCTCTCTCTCTGTCTCTCTCACCATCTCCCTCTCACCATCTCTCTCTCCCCACGTCTACTCTCACACCATCTCTCACCATCTCTCTCTCCCCACGTCTCTCTCACCATCTCTCTCTCTGTCTCTCTCCCCACGTCTCTCTCTCTCCCCACGTCTCTCTCACACCATCTCTCTCCATCTCTCTCCCCACGTCTCTCTCACACCATCTCTCTCCCCACGTCTCTCTCCCCACGTCTCTCTCACCATCTCTCTCCCCACGTCTCTCTCTCTCCCCACGTCTCTCTCACACCATCTCTCTCCATCTCTCTCCCCACGTCTCTCACACCATCTCTCACCATCTCTCTCCCCACGTCTCTCTCACACCATCTCTCTCTCCATCTCTCTCCCCACGTCTCTCTCACCATCTCTCTCCCCACGTCTCTCTCACACCATCTCTCTCCATCTCTCTCCCCACGTCTCTCTCACCATCTCTCTCTCTGTCTCTCACACCATCTCTCTCCATCTCTCTCCCCACGTCTACTCTCACACCATCTCTCACCATCTCTCTCCCCACGTCTCTCTCACACCATCTCTCTCTCCATCTCTCTCCCCACGTCTCTCTCACCATCTCTCTCCCCACGTCTACTCTCACACCATCTCTCTCTCCATCTCTCTCCCCACGTCTCTCTCACCATCTCTCTCTCTGTCTCTCTCACCATCTCCCTCTCACCATCTCTCTCCCCACGTCTCTCTCACCATCTCTCTCTCTGTCTCTCTCACCATCTCCCTCTCACCATCTCTCTCCCCACGTCTCTCTCACCATCTCTCTCTCTGTCTCTCTCACCATCTCCCTCTCACCATCTCTCTCTCCCCACGTCTACTCTCACACCATCTCTCTCTCCGTCTCTCTCCCCACGTCTCTCTCTCTCTCTGTCTCTCTCACCATCTCCCTCTCTCCATCTCTCTCCCCACGTCTCTCTCACCATGTCTCTGTCTCTCTCCCCACGTCTCTCTCACCATCTCCCTCTCACCATCTCTCTCCCCACGTCTCTCTCACCATCTCTCTCTCTGTCTCTCTCACCATCTCCCTCTCACCATCTCTCTCTCCCCACGTCTCTCTCTCACCATCTCTCTCTCTGTCTCTCTCACCATCTCTCTCTCTGTCTCTCTCACCATCTCCCTCTCACCATCTCTCTCTCCCCACGTCTACTCTCACACCATCTCTCACCATCTCTCTCTCCCCACGTCTCTCTCACCATCTCTCTCTCTGTCTCTCTCCCCACGTCTCTCTCTCTCCCCACGTCTCTCTCACACCATCTCTCTCCATCTCTCTCCCCACGTCTCTCTCACACCATCTCTCTCCCCACGTCTCTCTCCCCACGTCTCTCTCACCATCTCTCTCCCCACGTCTCTCTCTCTCCCCACGTCTCTCTCACACCATCTCTCTCCATCTCTCTCCCCACGTCTCTCACACCATCTCTCTCCATCTCTCTCCCCACGTCTCTCTCACCGTCTCTCTCTGTCTCTCTCCCCACGTCTCTCTCTCCCCACGTCGCTCTCTCCATCTCCCGCTCTCTGTCTCTCTCCCCACGTCTCTCTCACCATTTCACCATCTCTCTCCGTCTCTCTCCCCACGTCTCTCTCTCTCCCCACGTCTCTCTCACACCATCTCTCACCATCTCTCTCCCCACGTCTCTCTCACCATCTCTCTCTCTGTCTCTCACACCATCTCTCTCCATCTCTCTCCCCACGTCTACTCTCACACCATCTCTCACCATCTCTCTCCCCACGTCTCTCTCACACCATCTCTCTCTCCATCTCTCTCCCCACGTCTCTCTCACCATCTCTCTCCCCACGTCTACTCTCACACCATCTCTCTCTCCATCTCTCTCCCCACGTCTCTCTCACCATCTCTCTCTCTGTCTCTCTCACCATCTCCCTCTCACCATCTCTCTCCCCACGTCTCTCTCACCATCTCTCTCTCTGTCTCTCTCACCATCTCCCTCTCACCATCTCTCTCCCCACGTCTCTCTCACCATCTCTCTCTCTGTCTCTCTCACCATCTCCCTCTCACCATCTCTCTCTCCCCACGTCTCTCTCTCACCATCTCTCTCTCTGTCTCTCTCACCATCTCTCTCTCTGTCTCTCTCACCATCTCCCTCTCACCATCTCTCTCTCCCCACGTCTACTCTCACACCATCTCTCTCTCCGTCTCTCTCCCCACGTCTCTCTCTCTCTCTGTCTCTCTCACCATCTCCCTCTCTCCATCTCTCTCCCCACGTCTCTCTCACCATGTCTCTGTCTCTCTCCCCACGTCTCTCTCACCATCTCCCTCTCACCATCTCTCTCTCTGTCTCTCTCACCATCTCCCTCTCACCATCTCTCTCCCCACGTCTCTCTCACCATCTCTCTCTCTGTCTCTCTCACCATCTCCCTCTCACCATCTCTCTCCCCACGTCTCTCTCACCATCTCTCTCTCTGTCTCTCTCACCATCTCCCTCTCACCATCTCTCTCTCCCCACGTCTCTCTCTCACCATCTCTCTCTCTGTCTCTCTCACCATCTCTCTCTCTGTCTCTCTCACCATCTCCCTCTCACCATCTCTCTCTCCCCACGTCTACTCTCACACCATCTCTCACCATCTCTCTCTCCCCACGTCTCTCTCACCATCTCTCTCTCTGTCTCTCTCCCCACGTCTCTCTCTCTCCCCACGTCTCTCTCACACCATCTCTCTCCATCTCTCTCCCCACGTCTCTCTCACACCATCTCTCTCCCCACGTCTCTCTCCCCACGTCTCTCTCACCATCTCTCTCCCCACGTCTCTCTCTCTCCCCACGTCTCTCTCACACCATGTCTCTGTCTCTCTCCCCACGTCTCTCTCACACCATCTCTCTCTCTCCGTCTCTCTCCCCACGTCTCTCTCTCCCCCCCTGCCTCCCCCAGTGCTGCTCAGGATGCATTCCGCCTGGGCTCCTCGTGGCGTTCTATGGATCCGTCACAGCGTGGCCTCATCCTGCACCGTCTGGGAGACCTCATGGAGAGCCACAAGGCTCTGCTGGCCTCCCTGGACACGCTGGACAGCGGCAAGACATACTCCTCCGCTCTGGGTGAGTCCACCGCTCGCTCGCTGCATCGCTCACTCGCTCACTCGCTCACTCGCTCGCTCGCTCACTCACTCGCTAACTCGCTCGCTAACTCGCTCGCTCACTCACTCGCTCACTCGCTCGCTCACTCGCTCGCTCGCTCGCTCGCTCACTCGCTCACTCACTCACTCACTCGCTAACTCACTCGCTAACTCGCTCGCTCGCTCACTCGCTCACTCACTCGCTAACTCACTCGCTCACTCACTCACTCGCTCACTCGCTAACTCACTCGCTCACTCACTCACTCGCTCACTCACTCGCTCGCTCACTCGCTAACTCACTCACTCACTCACTCGCTCACTCGCTCGCTCACTCACTCGCTCACTCGCTCGCTCACTCACTCGCTCACTCACTCACTCGCTCACTCACTCGCTCACTCACTCGCTCACTCACTCGCTAACTCGCTCGCTCGCTCACTCGCTCACTCACTCACTCACTCGCTCACTCACTCACTCGCTCACTCACTCGCTCGCTAACTCACTCACTCGCTCGCTCACTCGCTCACTAACTCACTCACTCACTCACTCGCTCACTCACTCACTCACTCGCTCGCTAACTCACTCGCTCACTCACTCGCTCACTCACTCACTCACTCGCTCACTCACCCACCCACCCACTCACTCACTCACCCTCCCACTCACCCACCCACCCACCCACTCACCCACCCACTCACCCACTCACTCACCCACTCACTCACTCACCCACTCACCCACCCACCCACCCACTCACCCACCAACCCACCCACTCACTCACCCACCCACTCACCCACTCACCCACCCACTCACCCACTAACTCACTCACTCACCCACCCACTCACTCACTCACTCACCCACCCACCCACCCACTCACTCACTCACCCACCCACTCACTCACTCACCCACCCACCCACCCACTCACTCACCCACCCACTCACTCACTCACTCACCCACCCCCCCACCCACCCACCCACTCACCCACTCACTCACCCACTCACTCACCCACTCACTCACTCACTCACCCACTCACTCACTCACCCACTAACTCACCCCCCCACTCACTCACCCACTCACTCACCCACCCACTCACCCACCAACCCACCCACTCACTCACCCACTCACCCACTCACTCACCCACTCACCCACCCACCCACCCACTCACCCACCCACTCACTCACTCACCCCCCCACTCACTGACCCACCCACTCACCCCCCCACTCACTCACCCACTCACTCACCCACTCACCCCCCCACTCACTCACCCACTCACCCCCCCACCCCCCACCCACCCCCCCACTCACCCCCCCACCCACCCCCCCACCCCCACCCACCCCCACAGGTGACGTGGACTACGCTATCCGCACATACCGCTACTTTGCCGGCTGGGCTGACAAGCACCATGGGCAGACGATCCCCATGGATGGCGACTTGGTCACCTTCACCTGGCACGAGCCAGTGGGAGTCTGTGCTCAAATCATTCCCTGGAACTTCCCCATCGTCATGCAGGTCCACCTTCCACTGTGTAGTCCACCCACAGCATAGTCCACCTCCCACACTGGGTAGTCCACCACCACCCACACTGGGTAGTCCACCACCCACACTGGCACGAGCCAGTGGGAGTCTGTGCTCAAATCATTCCCTGGAACTTCCCCATCGTCATGCAGGTCCACCTTCCACTGCATAGTCCACCCACAGCATAGTCCACCACCCACACTGGGTAGTCCACCACCCACACTGGCACGAGCCAGTGGGAGTCTGTGCTCAAATCATTCCCTGGAACTTCCCCATCGTCATGCAGGTCCACCTTCCACTGCATAGTCCACCCACAGCATAGTCCACCACCCACACTGGGTAGTCCACCACCCACACTGGCACGAGCCAGTGGGAGTCTGTGCTCAAATCATTCCCTGGAACTTCCCCATCGTCATGCAGGTCCACCCTCGCCACATAGTCCACCTTCCACACTGGGTAGTCCACCACCCACACTGGGTAGTCCACCACCCTCGCTGGGTAGTCCACCACCCACACTGGGTAGTCCACCACCCACACTGGGTAGTCCACCACCCTCGCTGGGTAGTCCACCACCCACACTGGGTAGTCCACCACCCACACTGGGTAGTCCACCTTCCACACTGGGTAGTTCACCACCCACACTGGCACGAGCCAGTGGGAGTCTGTGCTCAAATCATTCCCTGGAACTTCCCCATCGTCATGCAGGTCCACCTTCCACTGCGTAGTCCACCCACAGCATAGTCCACCTCCCACACTGGGTAGTCCACCACCACCCACACTGGGTAGTCCACCACCCACACTGGCACGAGCCAG